GAAATTAGGTGGAGTTGATTTTTTTTTTTTAACTTGTGACTAGAATATTTCACAAACAGAAAGGAGGAAAACAGGTTTCCCAAGTGTGTGATAGTAGCACAGTGTGAATCACTTGTCCTTTTTACATAGTTTTTCTACTGTTACGATCTCATAGTCACATCTATGCTTGGTGTTCAGGTCATAGCTTCAAACTGTGTCTGATACACACAGAGGATTTTGGACTTCCAGTCCTTAAAATTCCATATGTACCTGTTTTTATAAGTGGGAAAAAAAATCTAGGTGTTTTGGTCCCATTGAAGGTTAACTGATAGGTTAATGCAATCCATAAATGAATTTAACTTTGTCACGTGTCTCCCAGGGCAAACATATCCTGATCTTCTAAGGGAAGGATGAACTGAGTGTAAATTTTCCACATTGAAAACATAGCAGCTAACCTTCCCTTTCATCCTCTCACAGTTCTCCCATGTGAATTTTAATCCTAACTTCATAATTTCCCAGTTCTTCAATTAAGGTGACTAATAGCTCCTCTACCCAACGTATATATTTTAGCAACTCCCAGAATTTAATCCAAGAAGTTCTGCTAAGAAGCTGATGTTTGTAGAAGTTGAGCAACTTGACCGAACACTCCACTGTCCAGTAGTTGGGACTTTAAATGGGGAACAGTGGTGGCCAACTCATAGGGTCCACGAAAGGATTCCATTAGTTAGTCACTACATGTGTGAATTAAATGCCAACAGCAGTCCTTGGCACATAATTAGTTCTCAGCAAATGTTAAGATACTATTATTGCCACATCTAGGGAGTGGGCAGAGTTGAGTTCTGTCTGCATTCATTCTTTCAGCTGATGTTTGTTGAACACCAGCTGTGTGCTGTGTTCTGGGGAGATAGCCCATGGTCTTAACCATTGTGCTTTATACCTCTGGTTTAATTTCAGGGAAGATGTTTTCTCCCTTTGTAGGCAATTGGAAAACCATGACACCAAAGAGATGATGATTCATGGTCCACCAACATTTTGTTTTGAGGTCCTCAAAATAAGTATCATGGGTGGATATTGCTTAGATAAAGAAAGCACATCTCAACGTCATTCTGGGTGATCTCAACATAGTACTGACTTTTTCCTGGAGCCTAGGACAAGAAGAGAATGTAGCTACTAATATAGCTGCTCACATAAGAAATTATTGAATCTATTGACAGCATGATACTTCTCAACTCAGTTGCTCTGGGTCTTTGTTGCAGAGCACAGGCTCTAGGCAAACAGGCTTCAGTAATTACAGCCCATGGGCTCAATAGTTGTGGCTCCCAAGTTCTAGAGCACAGGCCCAATAGTTGTGCATAAGCTTCATTGCCCTGCAGTTTGTAAAATCTTCATGGATCAGGGATCGCACCCATATCCCCTGCATGGGCAGGCAGATTCTTAACCACTGGACCACCGGGGAAGTCCAGTTGTATGCTTTAAAAAGGCAGTGGCTTTAAATTAACATGACTTTATCATCTGGGTAATAATCAGATATCTGACCGAATAGGCTTCCAGGGTTGGGGCTGCTGTCTTCTCTCTAGGTTGACCCTTCTGATAGTTCATCAGTGTCACTCACAAGCTGTCCTCACAAGAAATGGCAGAGGAAGTCCACCCTCGATTGTTCTTCACGGTTCCCTGGCTGTGATGAGTCATTGCAGGACAGCCCTTGCAACCAAGTGCTGATAAGAATAGGCACACAATAGGAAAACAAAACAACGGAGAGCTGAAGGAGAAGGAGCTGGAACTCAGAAGTGTGTCCACAGCTCTGCTGTATTTAGATCTGTGACCTTGTATAAGTCACAGTCTTCCCAGTCCCTGGCTTTCTCGTGCATAAAGTTTCTAGAGTCTCTTGATGAGTTAGGTCAACTTTGGAGTTTAATGTTCACTAAGAAAGGTGGGAGACACTGCCCCTCCAGAGGACAGTGATTCGTGATTTGTATAATTATAGTCGCTTTGTTGATTGTTGGAAAAGAACAGTGGCAGATGAGTCAGCCTGGCATGAGCTATTGGAGATCAGCGATGCTGCTTTTGTTGGGGGAAAAAAACCTGACTAAAGCATAAGTTTAGGTGCCAATGGTCAGGGTGATACCAAGCTCCAGAAATAGAAGCTCGGATCTTGGTCAGAGGACAGTATAGAGGGGACAGTGGTCATGGACTTGTTTTCCCAAACCTCCACCTTCAGCTTTCTCTGGGAAAGATGCTTGTGGGTGACCGTGGGGGTGTAGTATCACCATCCAGCAAACCATCCACACCACACATGTCGCTTGGGAGTCACTATTGCTGACTGAGAGGAGGCAGGTGGTATTTTGAATGTCCTTCCTCTGCCAGGTTTGTTTCTCCAAAACTCTGTGTGAAAGGAAAACTCCAGTTAAGTGCATGTATTAGGAGCTCCAGTGGCAAACCTCTGGACGAAACATGGGCAGCTCTAGCGACAACCAGATCGGAACCATCCATCCTTTATCCTTCCTCTGGGCGCTTTCTCCAGTAGCCTTAGAAGCAGGAAGAGAATCCCCTTTCTCTCAAGCCTGGACCCAAGCTCGCCTGATCTGCTTGTTCTCTGCTCCCCCACACAGTCCAGCAGGGCCTGCCACCGACTGACGCGAAGCTCTGCGTATTGGGTTGGCCAGAAAATTCGTTCGGGTTTTCCATCAGAAATTGGACTATGAGTGACTAAGCCCACACAGACAAGTTGGAGTGGGGGTCAAGGGAGGCCTGACCGAATTCCAGCTGCCCTACTTCCCGGGTGTGGCACCTGGAGTAACTTACTTAGCTTGGGCAGTAAGCATAGTAGCACTCATGGTCTTATGCAGGTAGCCTGTCTTTAAGAATTGCATTGTATTCTGAAACCATATGAAAACTCCCCCTGGCCACAGGAGAGAGAGTGAAGGTGGGACCAAAAACTAGACCTTGAACTCTTCCTCCCTTCCTCCCTGAGAGGGTGTGATAAACATCGGAGGCAAATTTGACCTCATAGAGATCAGCAGGGATCCCACCTCCTTGCACTGGACTGTTCCCACCCCAGTAAGGACAAGGCGTTTCAAACTCTATAAGCAACAATCTACTTTAAAAAACAAATCTTACACCAAACGGTCATGTGTAAAATGAGTATAAAAGGCTTTTGTTTATAAAAATATACTTCAGTTGAAATTTATAATAAACTCAGTAAGAATGATGAAGCAATTTCAATGAACAGAAATTTCAAATAGAGATGATAGATGACTTTCAGAGATGATAGATGACTTTCATGATCATTTCCCTTTAACATATAGATAAGTAATTGCAAATGGTCTTTTTTAAAAAAAAAACAGATCTCCTTCCAATCTAGTGGTATCAATCAGTTTGAAGAGAAAAGATAGAAGGCTTATTATACCAAAGCTGCCCAAAATATGTAGACTAGCATATATTTGTTTACATGTAAGAGATGGGAATGAACTTTTAAATTATTGCATTTTTTTCCCCAAAATGCTTATACCTTTAAAAAATTAAAGTAAATGTGCAAACACCTGAAACCCCTCCATAGAATGCCAGGGTTTGGTAGAAAACTGCCCAAAGTACACTCGGTGAGGTCGTAGAGTTCTCACATCTCAGTTAGCTCTCTGTTTCCTGTTTTACTGTAGCATGTATGTGTTGGCTTACAGTTGTCAATACTGAAAGCCAAATGGTGACATTTGAATAAGCTCTGCGGTCTGGCTGACAGTGCTGGATCAGTATCAATTGCTTGATTTGGTGGTGTTCTTGAGTGATAGAAAATATTGCTTTGGAGTAAGTTGGGTGAAGAGTGCTTAAGACTGTATACCATTTTTGCAGTTTACTCTGAGTTTATGATTCTTTCGGAATGTGAAACTGTTCGGTAAAAGGCATTTGAAAACAACCATCCTCTAATTAATTGTTAGGAGGGAGCACAAGACTAATAGAGTGATGTATACACCACACTTTTAGAGTGGATTTCCATCTATCTTACCTTATTGAAACAAAAGCATCTTTCTTTCTTTGCCACTGAGTCTATATCCTGCACCCTCACTCTGTCACCTACTGTGACACCCTTGAAGTTTTGGAAAGAAAACATAGCAACGGCAAATCAAGGAGATCTCTCTCTTTTGGGAAAACTATTTTAGCTGCTGCTTAATTACTTAATAATAAAATGGTGCTAAAACCCAAGAGTTCAGTCTGCAGGTACCTGATACACAAAAAAGCTTTATAAATGATGTAGCAGGTTTTTCTGAAGCATTCCTATGCTCAAAACATTACTAATTAGGCCAAAGTAGTGTCAACATGCCATGACATCATAAGGCCACATGTACAAATCCGCATGCCCTATAGTCCATTGTGATGATGCAGCGTAAGGAGTGTTATTCTACTGGAGAAAAGACAAAGGAGAGAAGATAATTTTAAAAGAGTAAACCTTTGATCCATCTAATTAGGCCAAAGTAGTGTCAATATGCCATGAGATCATAAGGCCACATGTACAAATCCGCATGCCCTATAGTCCATTGTGATGATGCAGCGTAAGGAGTGTTATTCTACTGGAGAAAAGACAAAGGAGAGAAGATAATTTTAAAAGAGTAAACCTTTGATCCATTCACTTCTGTGTGTAAAGTGAAAGTGGTCATGGTGGTCATGAAACATGCTGCTTTGTTCCCTAGGATTTTACAGTGCGCTGTCAATTACTGCTTTGTTCTTTGATAAGATTGATGTGGTGGTTTTGCTCTTTATCACTTGGAAAAATGGAAGGGAATTCCCTGAGCCAGCCATCTATCTTCAGTGTAATTGGCAAAAGACTGATTATCTCATGTGTTTTGACTAGAAATGGATTAGTGGGGTTGATCACAGCTATCAGACACCTGCAAAGGTGAATGGAGCTCTGAACAATGCTTTAGCAAATGTTTTAACATGTGCTTGTATTAAGTCCACTAAAAAACCTGTTCACTCCACCAAGCTATGACACAGGGCATTCGTGTGATTGGCTTTTCTGGCTTCTCCTCCAGGGTCATCAATGCTGGGAAGAGCACACATAACGAAGACCAAGCCAGCTGTGAGGTGCTCACTGTGAAGAAGAAAGCAGGGGCCATCACCTCCACCCCAAACAGGAACTCAGCTAAGAGGCGGTCCTCGCTTCCCAACGGGGAGGGGCTGCAGCTAAAGGAGAACTCGGTAAGCCCCTCCTTCACCCCGCTCTCGGGTGAGAAGGAGCCACACACTCTGGCCCCGCTGTGGAATGTTCAGAGTGGAAGAGAGAAAAGCCACGGCCCCAGTGTTCCTGGGGTGCTGGGTCTGGGCTCAGGGCATCACACTCACAGCAAAGGTGATACATGGAGTTAGGAAAAGCCAGTGTTTAAGTTCTCAACACTTAGAGAAAATGCCCACATCATATGAGTTTTGTTGCAAGAATTAGTATGTGTCGCGGTAGATGGTTTTAAAGAAGCACTTCAAGGTATTTTTGAAGGAGCTCATCCTCAGCAGCCTCCCAGGAGGAGTGGAGAAACTCTAGCCATCAGCTTGCAGCCCAGCTACCACTCTGCCCCTGTCCTCTCCTCGCGTGTCCCTTAGAGATGCACAGTTGGAGCCTGTGCTTGATGCTCTTCCAAATTAATGTTTGTTTCAGTTGGCCCAAAGCCCTTGCATCCTATGGGGTGCCCCTCCGGACTGAATGCCCTGCTGACAAACCACAAAGCATTTCTCCTCCCTCCAGCTTCCGGAGAACAAAGCAGACATCCTTGGAAAGTTCTGAAGAAGCTCTTAGCACAGTAGAGGGAACAGTCAGCACTGTGTCCATCATCAGATTCTTTAGTCCTACAGAAAAGAGACATGAAATGGGATGACCCAGATGGGACTATTTGTTCCAATGATCTTGAGGATATTTTTGTTTGTAAATTTTTATAGGATTGTAAAGGATCTAGGAACGTGTCCCTTAGTTGAAGTGATAGTATCTTGTTGCATTTATGCTTAGTGACTAAGAAGAATACTCATTTATTTTTGTTTTGTTAGCATTAGTTCAGCTTAGGGTTAAAAAACACAGTGACCTATGGAGACTCATCAGTTGTACTTGTTTTCAAGGCAGAAGGAAGCATTGATTAGGCCTGTCCCAAAAAGGAAGAGTCAGGGACCCAGGTGAGAAGGACAGAATAATAGTGGTTAAGTGCATGCACTCTGGAGTAAGACAGTTCAGAACAATCTGTTGCTTAAAGCTATTCAGTTTAACAATGTGTGCGTGCTCAGTCCTGTCCGACTCTTTCTGATCCCATGGACCATAGCCACCAGGCTCCTCTGTCCATGGGATTGTCCCAGCAAGAGTACTGGAGTGGGTTGCCGTTTCCTTCTCTAGTGGATCTTCCTGACCCAAGGCTTGAACCCAAGTTTCATGGTCTCCTGCATTGGCAGGAGGATTCTTTACCATTACACTGCCTGGGAAGCCCATTCAATTTGGGGTAGTTATTTATTCTTTGAGCCTCAATTTTCCCTGGTCTGAAAAGGAATAATAATAGTAATTACCAAATATGGTGGGAGAGGCTAGTTAGAAGTATGAAATCCAACAGTCCATGCAAAGTCCTGAGCTGGTGTCATCATTAATAAATCCTTGATTGATGTTAGTGATTATTATCCTAAAGTCAGTTCCATTTCTGTAATCCTCTATGAATAATGCCCACTGAATTTTCGTTCATCTGTAAATTGGAAATCACACAATTTTTTCCATAGCTTCTTGATGGAATTATTTTTGAGGATTGAATTATTATGGAAAAGGGCTCAGAAAATATGAGACATTAATGATAATTAGATATGGGTGCCAGTGACTTAATGTTGCTCTTTCCCCTGGCAGTTCCTCTCTGCCACGGGGCTATAAAGTGATTTCTGTAAAAATAAGACAGTGTGTTGACATTTGGCTGAAAGCCAGTTGGTGATGGCATATTTCCTTGTTGCTAAGTTCCTCCTAGAAGTGGAGCCAGGGTTAACTACTTAACTTCCTTTCCTTAAGAACAGTGCAGCCAGCACATGCGCACTTTAGAATGGAGCTGGACACTCCTTCGTGATGGCTCATGTGGGGTCCATGCTCCTCTGGAAGGCAGCAAGGATGTGCAGTGGAAAGCAGGCACATCTCAGCCTGTATTCCTGCCTTAGCCACAGCGACTTCACGTCTATCTGCATTATATATTAGGCTTCTTTTTAGAGTTTAAGGCAAGAGCTGTGTTGCCATTCTTTTTAATTGTGGAAAAATACACAGAAAGCTTAGCATTTTAACCATTTTTAAGTGTACAGTTCAGTGGCATCAAATGCGTTCATATTGCTGTACCACCATCGGTGTCATCCATCTCCTAAACCTTTCCATCATCCCAAACCGAAACTCTGTCCCCATTAAATACTAACTCCCCATTCCTTCCTCCCTTTCCCCTCCACCCCCTCCAGTCCCTGGCAACTACCATTCTATTTCCTGTCCCTGTGAATTTGACTACTCCAAATACCTCCTATAAATGGAATCATACAATTTTTGTCTTTTTGCAGTTGGCACATTCACTTATCATAATGTCTTCAAAGATTGTCCGTGTTGTAGAATGTGTCATAACCTTATTCCTTTTTGAGGCTGAACAGTATTCTCTTATATGTGTATATGCCATTTTGTTTATGCCTTCATCATCGATGGACCGTTGCTGTCATCTTTGGTCTATTATGAATGTTGCTGCTGTGAACGTGGGTGTCTCGTACCTGCTTGAGTCCCTGCTTTTGATTCTCTTGGATGTGTACCCAGAGTGGAATTGCTGAGTGATACGGTGGTCCTGTTCAATATTTTCAGGAGCCACCATACTGTCGGCCACAGCAGCTGCGCCGTTCGACATTCCCACCAGCAGTGCACAAGGGTTCCAATTTCTCTACGTTTTTGCCAACACTTGTTAAATTCTGTTTTTCTAAAATAACAGCTACCCTAATGGATGCAAAGTGGTATCTCATTTGTGTATATTTCCCATGGCTAGTGATGGTGAGCAGCTTTCCATGTACTTCTCATTGGCCCCGTATATCTTATCTAAGGAAACGTCTGTTCAGGTCCTTTCCCATGTTAGGATTCGATTGTCTGTTTCTGTTGTTGACGTGTGTGCTCTTTCTAAAACCTTGAAGAGCGTAGTCTCATGCGCCAGATGACTCGTGAGCGTGGGCTGTGTTCTAGGACCTGGATGGGGAAGATTCAGCAGGAAATAAAACAGAAGACAGTCCCTCCCTTCAGGGAGCTTGTGTTCTTTAAGGGAGACCAACAAAATGCACAGCATGGGCAGATAAACACTCCGGAGAAAGCAAAGGAGGGAAGCAGGAATAACAGGGAGTGTGAGGTGCAGGGGTGGTTAAAGGACGTGTCGGGGGTGTCGCTGGGGCAAAGACCTGAAGGCACAGCTATTGGGAGGCAGAGCGTCCTGCGATCCCTAGGCAGCTGCAAGGCTCTGAGGCAGGACCAGGCCTGCCATTCTCAGGGATCGGCTAGGAGGCCCACGCAGCTGGGACTGACATAGTGGAGCCTGGGTTACAGGCAATGGACTTACCTGGCAACCCAGTGGTTCAGACTGTGCGCTTCCACTGCAGGGGGCTCGGGTTCAGTCCTTGGCCAGGGACGATGCCACACCTCATGACCAAAAAAAGAAAAACTGGATTGTAGGTAACGCTGTCAGAAAGGTAACAGGGAAGAGAGGCAGTCTGGTAGGACCTCAGGCTGTTAGCAGGACTTGGTCTGCTATGTAAAATGAACAGTTGGCTAGCAGAGGTCACTAAACATACTGCTTAAAAGAGGCTAGTGGTTTTTTCTGTCTGAAGACATCCCTTGACTCATATATGGTGGCACCAAGGGAAGGGCAGTGACAGTACAGAGCTCCGTGCGAGAGAGCATCTGCAGAACAAGAGAGGCAGGTCTCCGCCTTCCCCCTGGGACTCTCATCCTTCACTCCGTAAATGTGTGCTGAGCTCCGAGTCCACACACCGGGACCTGGGGCCTGCAGAGATGGATTCAGGACAGCCCCTGACCTCCTTGAGTAGAGCTGGGGAGACAGGAAAGGAAGGCTTCCTGAAGAAGTGACATTTGCGCCGTTGTGCTGAAAATTGAATAGGAATTAAGAAGCCCATAAGACAAAGGGGAGCTCCTGCTGGAGGGAATGCACATGTGCAGAGCTAGGCTGACGTGGGAGCAATGGGGCATGGCTTCCTGTGTCGGGGGCATGTGTAGTTGCTTGGAGGGGTATAAGACCGGAGCAGTGAGCAGGGTTCACAGGTGAGAGTCACTCAGTGCTCTGAAAAACTGGACTTTTAAACAACGACTTTAGACCAGGGTGTAACAGACTCATGACGGTGGGGAGGCTGACTTGAGAGGACTGGGGGAGCATGCCTAGAAGCTGGGACACTTAGGAGTCTGGCTCATGCAGAAATCTGAGTGAGAAATGATGACGCTCCAGATAAAGCAGTGGTTAAGAGCAAAGGCATCAAGAAGCAACAGTTAGAACCAGACATGGACAATGGACGTGAAACAACAATTTTGAACAACAGTTCAAAATTGGGAAAGGAGTACGAAAAAGGCTACATATTGTCACTCTGTTTATTTAATGTATATGCAGAGTACGTCATGTAAAATGCAGGGCTGGATGAATCACAAGCTGGAATCAAGATTGCCAGGAGAAATATCAATAACCTCAGATATGAAGATGACACCACCCTTATGGCAGAAAGTGAAGAGGAACTGAAGAGCTTCTTGATGAAAGTGAAAGAGGAGAGTGAAAAAGCTGGCTTAAAAGTCAACATTCAAAAAACTAAGATCATGGCATCCAGTCCCATCACTTCATGGCAAATAGATGGGGAAACAATGGGAACAGTGAGAGACTTTAATTTCTTGGGCTCCAAAATCACTGTAGATGGTGACTGCAGCCATGAAATTAAAAGACGTTTACTCCTTGGAAGAAAAGCTATGGCCAACCTAGACAGCATATTAAAAAGCAGAGGCATTACTTTGCCAACAAATGTCCGTCTAGTCAAGGCTATGGTTTTTCCAGTAGTCATGTATGGATGTGACAGCTGGACTATAAAGAAATCTGAGCACTGAAAAATTGATGCTTTTGAACTGTGGTGTTGGAGAAGACTCTTGAGAGTCCCTTGGACTGCAAGGAGATCCAACCAGTCCATCCTAAAGGAGATCAGTCCTGGGTGTT